CTAGGAAGAAAATAGTATTAGGTCAATTGCCAAGAAAAAGAGAATTCTTACTTATAAACTGATTCCCCTACTCCCTCCCACAAAAACCTGTAATTAATTTCACGAAAATAGTAAAAGACTTTGTGCTTGGACAAAAGCATTAGTAGAAGACCCATGTAAGTAAACTCCATGTTAAAGTAAATATTTGCAGGCTGAGTAAACACCACTTTGTAAAAGAGTTCATGGGATACAGACTTTGTTCAGCGGTCACATTAGAGACCTTGACAGACTTCCTTGGTTTTACATATTGATGGCAACACACAGGAACAGTAAAGTTAGATTTCTAATTCAGTAATGCTCTAGGGAAAAAAAGAGTAAACTAAAACACTTCATGATGTTACTTTTACTGAACTAAAGTTAATGGAGTAATTTAAATTCTTAAAGGACAGTTCAGTAGCTTGTTGCATGTAAAACTGTACTCGTAGTTCCATTTCATGATGCCAAGATTCTCTCAAGGGAAGAACTTAAGAACACAAAGTATTTGCTTTTAGTCAACAGAGTTGGTAGAGAAGAAAACCCCTCTCCAAGAAGTACAAAACATAACACAGTAAAACCCAAGTGTTTAAAAATAATTACAGCAAAAACAAAACAGAATATATATATATAACCTTAACATTTAGGGCAGAGAACCTGAACCCAGTTTATTCTCATATTTAAGAACCCATTTTGTAAGTACCCATCGAGAGACAGAATGCTACTAACTCAGGAAGGGAGCCTAAATACTCCCAATTTACAGATGCTCAGAGGCATTAGATGATTTTCCCCTCTCACACAGCAACCGAGGGGCAGAAATGAGGTAAGAACCAAGTCTTTCTGACACAAACATTTACTGCTTCTAGGCATATTCTATGCTAATATCTAGAAATCATTCCTATATCTTCATTTAAATAAACAGCATAATCTCCACTGAAGAGCATTTAACACTTTGCTCCCACATATTGTATGTATGTATGTATGTATGTATGTATGTATGTATTTATTTATTTATTTATTTATTTATTTATTTATTTATTTATAAGTCTCAATAAAGCACCATTTGTATTAAATCAGATGACCTTTTAATTCAATTAAGCTGAAAGTTATTTTCTACTTATTGGAAAAAGAAAATTCAAATTAAATATAAATAGAGGAAAACAGCATTTGTAACATATATATCAAAGGGCTAAAATCCTCAATTCATGTAGAAACGATAAATAAATATATAAACATGCCAAAAGAAAAAATATTGGCAAAAGCAATCACATAGGATTCCTCCATTTAACAGATATTTCCTGAATGCCTTCCATATACCCTGCACTGTGCTATGAGTTGGGAATAGAATGAGCAAGTATTTATTGACTTTACACCATACTGCTAAAAAAATGGTTTACTTAGGATAATTTCGTCTGAAAAAATGCATATGTACATATACACAAACTACCTGGAAGGATACATATCAAGTGGTTATCAATGGGTGTTTTGATTTATTTATTTGAAACATAAAATAATAACATGCATTTCTTTTATAATACATTTTTATAAAAATTATAAAACTTACAGACATAAAATTATTCAATTATTTCACTTTTATTATTGGATGATAATTTAGCTGACTATAGAATTCTAAGATTCAGTAATATTTGTTTCTGATATTTAATATTTTTATGAAAAAAATGCTTTTGTGTGAAAACACTTCAGTGTCAAAACAGTAGGGTCAACATGGCAAGACCTAACCCTTCACTTCCCCATTATACTATGTAAGTAATTGTATAAGCCTTGCTCTTGCTAGCAAAGAGCACATCGTCTCTTTAATATAAAGCAGGAATATTAAAAAAATGAAATGAAACTATCAAGTGAAGATGCCCAGGCAACTGGATATACAGTCTAATGCTCAGGAGAGAAATCTGGAGTCTGAGAGTTTGAAATCTGAGAACCATCAATGGTAGACAATTGTAGAAGCCATGAGCAGAGATGCAAGAGCTCCAGAAGGGACAGTGTATAGTACGAGAGGAGAAGAGGTTTATCACAGAACCCTAAGAAATGCCATTAGATAAAAGATTGGCAAAACAAGGTAACCCTGAGAGTGATCACAGAGAGGGAGAAAAAAACAACGAGCGTGCTTTGTAATAGAAGGAAAAAAAGATGGCATTTCAAAAAGGGAGAAAAGGTCTGCAAGATCTTGAGAAATGTGATGAGTCTTTAGGATTGGGCAATAGGGAGTCTGTTGGTGACCCTGAAATAGTAGTGCTGAAACAGTCTCAGCAAGGTGAAACTGAAAACAGCAGCTTGACTGGAGTGGTGGGGATGAAAACTAGATTGTAGTGAGCTGAGAAATGAGTAGCATGGGAGGAAAGAGAGACTCATAGACAATCTTTTGAAGAAGTTTGGATTAATCCTTAAATAATAGAATTTAGCAAAGTTGCTGAAGGCAAAAATCAATATCAAAATCACAAACAGGTAAAAGATGAAATAGGAAAAAGTTCTCCTTTATAATAACATATAAAATATCAAGTACCTAGGAATAAACTTTAAAAAGTCAGGTAATACCTCTATGGAGAAAATTATAAAACTAATTGAAAAACATTAAAGAAGACCCACAGAAATGGAGAGATATGCTATGTTTATAAATTGGAAGACTAAATCCCAAATTGACTTACAGACTTAATGCAATCCTAATTAAAATCTCAAGTGATTTTTTCTCCTGGAACTTAACAATCTGATTCTAAAATTTATATAGGATTGCAAAAAGTCAAGAACAGCAAGAGACGCTTGAAAAAGTAGAATTAGATGGAAGAGCTACCTTAAACTTTAATAATTAAAGCAGCATGGTATTGGCAGGATTGCCAAATAGATCAATGAAAAGCACAGATCCATGCATTTATAAACACTTATATGTATGAAAGATGTGGCACTGCAGAGCAGCAGGGAAAGGATACTCTTTCATTAAGTGATGGAGGAAAAACCTGTACATTTATTTTGCATCATATACAAAAGTCATTTCCAAGGCAGATTAAAGACCTTTGTAGAATTTGACACAACATTGTAAAATGATTATAAATCAATAAAAAATGTTTAAAAAAAGATATTTTGAGAAAGAAAAGTTATAACTTTTATCACAAAAAAAAGACCTATCTTTGAAAGATGAAATATAAAACCTTTGAAATAATACAGAAAAAGAATTACAATCTCACATTATGAAGAAACTTCTTAAACAAGACAGAAAAAGTCCTAACTAAAAAATACATATTGATAAAACTGACCTCATTAAATTGAAGAACTAGAAAATTGAAGAAAATGAAAAGATAAAAGAATGAGAAGACACATTTGTAACAGATATAGCCAATAAAGGACTATAATCTAGAATACAAAAATTCAGATCAAGGAAAAAAAACTACCCAATATAAAAATGGACAAAAGACTTCAATAGATACCTCATGAAAGAAGAAATCTAAATGGCCAATAAAATCAACCTTATTATTTGTCAGGGAAATGCAAGTTTAAATCACAATGACTTAGTTCCCACTGGAACTGGTGAAAATTCAAAGGTCTGAAAATAAGATGGTTACTTTGGTGAATATGTAGACTCACTTATGTACTACATGTATAGTGTAAACTGGAGCCACCACTTTGGAAAATTGTCTAGCATTATTGCATAAAATTAAATGTATGCATATTTCATAATGTAGTAATCTCAGTCCTATGTATATACTGTAGAAAAAATAGTGTACATATGTTCATGTACAAGAATGTTCATAGGAGTATTATTTATGATAGCCAAAAACTGGAAATAACACACATATTCATCAATACTAGAGTCAATATATAAACCATAGTATATTCATGTACTAGAATTCTATATAGCAATGAAAATGAATGACCTGTTGTTACATATAACAATATGGATAAAACTTCTGTAAATAACACTGAACAAGAGAAGCATGACACAAAAGAATACATACACCATGACTTATATTAAGGTCAAAAGCAGTCAACTAAATTCTCTAAGATTGCATACTTGGGTAGTGTATTGGTATACTCAAGCCAGGTAATTGAGGATTGTTTAATAAAAGGTGTGGGAATGGTTTAGGAAAAGCTATCAGGAATGGTACAGGGTCCTAGGGCTCATAACAGCAGGAGCCATAATGATCCCTAGGCATAAAGGGGTAAGCTGAGGGAACCCAGAAGGAGAGAGTTGCATGAAGAGGTAAGTCTCACAGGCGCTGTGGTCTCTGATTGGTATGATGGTTAATTTTATATGTCATCTTGGCTGGGCCATAATGCCCAGATAGGTGGTCAAATCTTTCCTGCATTTCTATTAAAATATTGTTTTTTAATATGAAATTAACATTTAAGTCAGTGGGTTTCGAGTAAAACAGATTACCCTCCATAATATTGGTGGGCCTCATCCAATGAGTTGAAGGCCTTAATAGAACAAAGAGTGACTTCCCCAACTAAGAAGGAAGTCTGAGGGCAGACTGCTTTTGGACTTGATCTACACTCTTCCCCAGGTCTCCAACCTGCTGGCCTAACCTGCAGATTTTGGATTTACCAAGCCTCCACAATTACATAATCCAATTCCTTAAAATAAATCTCTCTCTCTCTCTTATATGTATGTATATATAACAGTGTTTTTATATGTATACACCCACACTCACATACCTTATTGATTCTGTTTCTCTGGCTGACCCCAGTGAGTACCGTCAGTGACAAAACCAGTCCAGTTAGCCCTTGGAGAGATGCTATAGGAGAGGACCAGGGGAGGGAAATACCCTGTCTCATTCTGCCCTCTCTGATCTCCCCATTGCTTAAATGCAACTAGAAGCCAGAAAGGAAGAGGAGCCTGTTGATATAGTTCATACAAGCTAGCTTCCCAGTATACAGAGCAGGGTGGAGAAGAGAGAAGAACAGGCCTTGACAGGCAAAGAAAGAGTTAAACTCATAAAAAAAAAAAAAAGCTTGGAAACTATTACCATAAAATTCAGAATGGTGGTCACCTCCAGAAGGCTGAGAAGGTAATGACCCAGAAGAGACACATGGGTTGGGGGTATTTCCTTGATTGGATGGTGGCTAAATGAGTATTTGTCTTATGATTATTCATTAAACTATAATTTATGTCTTGTGCTTTTTTGTATATTTCATAATTTAAAAGTTTAAATAAGAAAACAATGCTCCACAATAGGAACTTGTATAATAATCTAAAAATCGTAATTATTTTCCGGGTGAGCGAGTTTGTAACACTTAAAACAAGTCTGTTTAAAAAACTAGAAAATTTATTACAGACAAGCATGTAAGTCCTAACCAGTGAAAGAACTAAATAACTCAGAACTTAAAAAAAAAATTGCTTCCAGCCAGAGAGGGGAAAAGAATAGTAGCTGGAGACTTGGACATGTTTAAATGCTGATAGTAAAGATCAGTAAAGAGGTAAATGTTGAAGACACAGGAGGAAAAGAGGAAATAGATGGCGTGCAGTCCCTCTAAAGTCAAAAGGAGAAGCACACATAGCCAAAGGGACTAACCTTGAATAAGATGAAAGATATTTATTGCACTGTGACTGAAAGGGGAAAAAAAGGATGTATGTGGCTTCACATAAATTTGTCAGCTTAGCAATGGGAAGCTCAGGAGAGTTCCCTATCTGATGCTTCCTTTTTCTCTGTGACATAAAACATGAGGGGGGAGAAGAGGGCAAGATGCCAAAGTCAGACTTGGTGGACAGTGAGAAGGTTTGGGCCACTTTTGAAAACAAGAGCATTTACTACGTTTGCCAGGCAGTACTGAATGTCCGATTGAAGATGGAGACCATGAATCTGTAGCACCATTAATCTGCAGAATTATGTGATTTTCTACAGTAAAATTTAGCAATCCAGAGATGGGTATAAAAAATTAGACACCTGGGTTGATCCAGAGTTGTTGAGGTTTTGGACTGAAGGACAATAGAACAAGGCACGTGAGCATAGCGATAAGAAACGCACTATGAAATCTCAAATGCAAAGGGAAGGAAATGAAGACAGAAGAGGGCTAGCAGAGAGGGAGGAAGTGGAAGGGTCAGAGTTTGGAGATTCTATAAGAGCATGAGCAAGGAGCAACTGAGTGATGGAAACAGAAGGGTGAAAAGTTGCGTGTTCAGGTTGTAGAATATTGGAATGCATTGTTTAGAATGCAGTAGCAATTGCAGGGGGTGAGAATACCTGTGTTCTGACAATGGAACAGATGGGTTGAAGTGGAGTAGAAGTGAAAGTCACTGAAGATAAAGAGGCTAAGATGTTGAAAGGATAATTCATGCGGACACTGACATCACTGAAGACTATGGACTTACTGGGGTGGAGAGAAAAACAACGAACAGCATATGTGTAAGAGGGTGAGGTGGGCAGCTGACTGGAAGGTTGCTAAATGACAGCGACAGGAGAGAGGGAGAAGGGAGGATAGTTTCTCTTGGATCTAAGAAGCACAGAAGTTCTTCAAGAGGTTGGAGGAGTAATGGTCTGGTTCTCCGCCTCCACTCTGATTGGAATTCCACAAGGTAAACTAGGAAAGTTTGGCAGAAAGCAAAGCATAAGTAAACCTAGATGACCAGGATAAGGTATAGCTGGAACTGTAATAAGGATATCAGGGCATGTTAGGTTAAACTGGCTATAAAGTTTTCAAGAAGAATTTGCCCTAGAAATACCCTGATATTGAGTACTGGGTGGTACTGGTGGCCTAGATGCCTGGGTAGGCTCTGGAAGACTTTGAGTTTTTAGGTCATTCCTTGATATGAGAATCTAGTAGTAAAAAACACATGTGTATTATACATAGTTGTTTGCATACCTGTTCAGCAGGTTATCAGATTCCTTTGAAGCTCTGGGTTAATAACCATATTTAGAAGGTGGCTTTGTGAATGTGGTTGTTGGATGATCTTTGTAGGTAATTCCATCATGCAGCAGACATTAGTCTCTTCTAAAATGCTGTATCTGTTAATTAGAAGGGAAAACTTAAGAAAACTGATCAAGGCATAAATTGTTCAATGCAGTTTTCTCTGGAAAATGTTGTCTCTATAATAATTCAGTGCTGCCATAATGCAAAATATCCTTGGGAACAAGATGACCTGTACCTTAGATACTTAATAAATGTTTGTTAAACTGAAAGGGAAACAAAGGGCTTCCCATGTAGACTTTCCTACAGGGAAAAGAAGGTTGGCCACGTATCCTAGATTTCAAGACCCTTTGATAGTTAACCTTCTCATTATAAATGAACAAATTGTTATTCTAGTTTACACACTGGCCTCTTGTGTATTGAGTTAGCACAAACTTCATCCCTTGAGTATGATCAACTCTGGGCACCCTGACAAAATAAAGTTTCTGGACTTGCAAAACCAAGGAATGAGCCCTGGAAAATATGACTTGACTGAGGCAATGTCATCCTGAGGCTGGCCTGAGCAGCCCAGCTGGCCTCTCCCTGTGACATTTCTAGCATGGTTGTTTAGAACAGCAACTCTATTTAAATCAATTTGACCTCCTGCAATAAAAATCTTTGAGACACGAAGGAGTCGTTAGCAAAACATTGTTGTAATCATCGTTAATGCAAGAGGACTGAGTAATTTATTAGAAACCATGGTGAGTTACTAAAATACACTGGCTGAAAAATGCCTCCTAATTCTAGAGTCTAGCGTGGGGAGTTACTAATTGTGTACAGCTTGTGACTGTTCATGGGTAGCGACCTAGTGACAGACTGTTCCATTTTCAGGCTACAGCTAGTGAGTGAGTACTAAAACACTTGTAACAAAACAAAGCAAAGGAAACTGCTTTTTTGGCCTGTTTTGTATTTTTTGTATTATGCTATACTTCATTGCTTCTTGAGTTATGCCAGGGTTGCACATTTCTGAGTGTCTCATTCTTTTTGTTCATAGAATCATAGAACTTTCCCACAATTCTGAAGAGTTAGACATAATGACCTATAAAAACAAGATTTTTTTTCCAACGTGGCAAACATTCCAGTAACAATTACTGATTATTCTTCTGTTTCAGTTCACCCACAAAAAGATAGTTTTAACTAACTAGTTCAACAAAATATCATTTCTTTCCAGATTTCATTAGAAGGAAAGAGTTTTCTCACCCCTCAGAATTTCACAAATTCTCCCTAAGATTTGTCAATTTCCATGGTATTAAACCATGGTATGTGAAAGAAGTCACAGTATATACAATACCCATCCTTTAACTTTACCTAATGTCAAGTAATTTAATTCTTATTATTTTTTTAACTTTTTTAATTGATAATTCTTATTTTTATATTAAATCAACAACTGATATGCTATGGCTTAAAGGCAAAACTTGAGAAGACAAAAAAATCCTGGGTTTTTTTTGGTGGGCAACTTATGCTGCTACCTGGGTGGGAGGTTGCAGATGGGAATGTTAGTGGCTTTGCTCAAATACCTCTCATTTGGGGGATGTTCAGTGGAAAGTCTGAGGCTCTGCTTGCCATTGGGATTGGTCCAGAAGCACCTTTGCTTTTTGTTTTTCCTATTTATCACTTCACTGAGAAATGCCTGAATACCTTTTAATGTAGATTGAATTGCCTGGTCTCAGCCTGGTCCTAACTCAGAAAGGAGTTTGTGACACCAGAACATCTTGAGGGAGCATGTGGCACAAGCCCCATTAGCAGAAACTATATCAGCCCTGTGGGAGCAGGGCAGCTATTGGTTGGAAAGGGGGTTTGGATCTGGCTATAGCAGGGTGGGGGAAAGGGAGAGAAACTGCTAGTATAGCTAGAGAGATGAGAATAATCACACGCAATGTTTTAATTTGAAGGTAAGAGAAGGCAATCCTCATCAAAAATAATTCTCAAATCCCAGATTTAGATTTTTTAAATTGAATGGGTTCTAAACAAGAGCATGGAGAGGAGTGTCAGTAAGAATGAGGCCCCGGGGATCTCTGGAGAGAGTGAGAAGCGGGGGGAAAAAAGAAAGCGAAAACATTGCCCTTCACGTTAGCTAGGTGATCTGTGAGAATGCCAAAAGGAATATTCACCAAGGATACAAGCTGCCAACTTAGTATTTAATGGTATCAGTAGGGATTTCCACAGAAAAAAAGATCATTAAGAAAATTTCAATTTCTGTTCACTGTAAAAAGAGTTTGTCACGGCAGACAGGATTATAAACTCAGAAGTGAAAAGTAAAAAGCAAGTCTAGAAAAATAAGATCAGCAGCAATGTGTGAGGGGAGAAGTCACATTAAGCAGCTCGTGATTGCTGTTGAATGAAAAAGGAGAACATCTGAAAGTGTGCTTGTGAAATGCCCCAGGTGGGGTCATGCCCAGCTGGTGGCCATGGCAGAGATGCACGTACCTGAACAGGGCAAGCAAAAGGAGCACACGAGACGGGAAAGATTTAGCAGGGATTTACCACTGGAACTGGCGTAACTTTTATTACAGTTAAAGCTAGAGCCAGATGATAGAAATATTGAAAACAATTTGTTTTTTAATGTATTCGAGTTCTTCAAAAAGGAGGTCTATCAGCAAAGTATTACACCATTTAAATCTAATATCCTGTATTTCTGTATGGCTACAAATGGAAAACTTCAAAAAATAGTATGCATAAATAAATGACCCAATCAACAGTGCTTGATTATGATACTTGCATGTATATTTTTCCAGGACTAAATAACAGAGCAGGCATATTAAAGACCAACCAACTAGGTTTCTTTGAAGTTCACACCTTTGAAAAATATTGGTGAGAAACAGGCAATCCTGATTTGAAGGAACATATGTTCTGGCATTTTTTAAAGTAACATTAACTGAAAAACAGGACAATTGTTTCAAAAACATGATTAGGCACAATTATAGGGGTGGGTGGATAATATAATTTCAAACAAACCAGTGAACATTTTAGACCTTTTCTGAAAGAATTTAGGATATTTGGATTTTGCAAACAGGTAACTCACTTCATTTTCACTTTAGCTTCTCCAAACAGAACGGATGATAATGCAGCCTTGCAGTTTAGAAGAAATCCACAGTTTAAAAGAAAACTGTTGACTATCTCTCTGGGAAGAATTATACAGGTAATAAAATGAGTAAAGTCAACTTTTCTCATGACTGACTGACTGTATGGTTACTGACCCTGGTACATGACTTTGCTGAGGTTGCTCTACGTGACATACGTGCAAGCTCTTGTTAAAAAAAAAAAAGTTAATCTTGAATTTTATGATTTTTGTGTAAATTTGCAAACTTTCTCTCTCTCATTAGATTAGTTAAAACAATACAAATACATTTTTCACTGGGCTGATTTCTAGGCAAGTAGGTTTGCAGTTTATCTGTGTTAGCTTCTCCTATCTCCCTTTTACTTCCTCTCTCACAGCCTCCTTCGCCCCAGGAGCCAGCCTGGTGCCCTGTTCTGCTTCCTGGCAGCTCAGGACTCCACTGTGGTATCCTTCTAAGCTTGCTCTCTAGGGCACAGCCTTACACACCAGACTAGTGGTCTCCAAACCTTTTTTGACTGAATTCCCTATCAGAAAGAATTTTGAGCATACCCCCAATCTTTATAAATTTGATGTGCATATATTACTGTTAATATATTATGAATACAATAAAACATACTGAAACAGAAAATTTTAAATAGATGAGATTGAAGTAAATCATATTTTAAATAATTTTAAAATGTATTACTAATAATAATACAAAGTATTCTTTTCTCTAAAATGTTACTGTCAACAAAGCTTTTAGGGAGAACAATAACTGAATGTGCCTCATTTTTTAAATCTTGGTTCAACATTTTGTGATACAGCAATGCAGATACCTGCTTTTATATTCAGTTTATTTAAAGGTTCTCTGAAAAGAGTTCACAAAAATATGGGCATTTAAATGGAAGAACTGCTTCATTAGCTGGATTACTAAATTACACTTATTTTTCAGTCTCATCACTCATTATGCAAAGATTGTGGTTAAATCTGATGTGTACTTTTCCATCTTGCCTAATGTTACTTAAGTGGATCCAAAAATTCTATACGATATCAGAGTTTTTATAGGTTACATACATTTTTTTCCATCACAAAAATTACGTAACAAAGGAAATATTTTCAAATATCAACATAGCATAGCAGGTAATGGCACAGAGCCTGAAGCCAGTTGTCTTAAGTTAGAATGTCAGCTCCTGGATTCTCACTACTTCTACAGTTGTGGACAAGTTACTTAGCCTCTCCATGCCACAATTTTCTCTCCTGTAAATTTGGATAGTAATAGATCCTTCTCAAAAGGGTTGTTATGAGAATTAAATAAGTCAATATTTGTAAAGCACTTAATATGATATCTGGTATATAGTAAATATATTTAAGTATGTAAAGGAACATAGGGAGAATTCTCATGCCCTGCTCTTGGGAGTGTAATACTTAAAATCACTTTTGAAATCAGCTGGTATTATCTACCACAGTTGGACACACACATTCTCTGTGACCCAGCAGACCTACCAAGATACTATATTTTAAAATGAGTGATCCTAGCAACTTTATTTGTAATAGGCAAAAATCAGAAATAACCTACATGTCCATCTACAATGGAGTGGATAATGATTATTTATATATGCACTGGTTGCTGTTCAGCAATAAAAAGGAATGAAAGGGATAAACCACACCTGCAACAGCATAAATGAATCTTACAAATGATGATGAGAATAAGAACAAAGACACAAAAGAATGTGTTATAGTGTGATATCACTTATATGAAGTTCAAAGAAAAGAACCAAAATATTAGTTTAGGAATGCACATATAGGTGGTAAAACTGTAAGGAAAAATAAACAAATAATCATCACAAAAGTCAGGCTTATGATTATCTCTAAGGAAAAAAAAAAAGAGGACTGTAACTGAGAAGGGGCACCAGTGGTATGTGTGTATGTCTGTGTGTGTGGAAGTGTGAGTGTGTGCACCCTTGCATGAATGCTGATAATGCTCTATTTTCTGGCCTGTGAGATTGCTTAGGAATGTTTCTTTTACAATTATTAACTATGTGCACAGGTATTATGCACTTTTCTGTATGTGTGTTATATTCACAGTGAAGAGTTAAAAAAAAAAACACTACTACACAAGTCTTGTTTTTAACAAAATTAACCTCAGTTTCTGGCTCCAGCTTCTTTGCTGGAATAACTGGTGTATGAGATATATCTTAAATGAATTTCATGTTGTTGCTCTCACTGCAACTTTAGTTTGGAGGAATCCTTCCTTTCTTTAAAAAAACCCTTTTTTTAGTCTAAGTAACTCATCCATCAGTGGTTACACTTACACAACTTTTGCATAAAACACAGCTTTTATTTTTTAAAAGTCAATTATTATTGCATATATCATTGAAAGATATAATAGAAAAAGAATATCTTCTCTACTATAGCTTTCCTTCAGTGGTTTACAGAATTGTCATTTAAAAATGTATTTCATAATTGAAACACAATCTAGTAAATACCACACTGAAACAGAATCTATGATATACCATAGCAAGAGACATATTAAAAACTTTTGTGCTTTCAGTTTAACCTTACAATAAATTCCCCACATTGTGCAACATGTTCCAAACTTGTGTTTTTGAGTCTTTAGCAATGTTTTATATGCATGTTTTCAAGGTCTTTGCTATCAAAGGAATGCTGTTTTTTCCCATTTGTGCTCCATGTATTATTTCAAATATTTTTCTCTTCACAAGAAGAAAACTGTCTTCCCACTGGTGTGTTGCTTTTTGACTTTTCAGTTTTAAGAAAGCTCAGAAGAGGCTTCATGGTATTTATAATTGGTGAGTTTTCTTTAAAGTATTGGCTTGAATGCTACATCCCTTAAATATGCTGGAAATACTGTTGAGCTTTCTACTGGAGTTTGGATGTCTAGTTTTCAAGTGGTTAGCTAATTGTGACTGGTTCAGAGCATCATTATCTATTAACTTTAATACACACTTTGGGTAAAGTTGATGTTAGCAAAAGTAAATGTAAATCCAAACTTAGTTTTAAAAATCATTTTAATCATTATGGCCAACTTCTTGTCAGGTCTGATCAGCTGTTAGTTTTTGATCTTGCAGTGTGGCTCCCAAAGGGTGCCAGAAACGTCCACTCAGCCCATGGCATTTGCTTGCTCTTGCATTATCAACACTGTCTCCATTGGTCCATGCTGTAATAGTTTACTTAAATATCATCCATAAATCCATTTAGTCAGATACAGAAACTGCAACATGTGGCAATACGTTGAGAGTGAACAAAGCAGAGAGCCCTCGCCTCCCCCAGCTGTGTGCTGCTGTGCTCCCACCCTCTCCCCAAAACGCCCCAGGAGCCTGCCCCCTTACAGATCAGGTTGGGGTGCCACTACCAATAGTCATGTTAAATATTAGGAGAGCTTAATTTCTTTCCCCTTTTTTTTAATTTTTGGTAAAAAATATGTGTTTGTAAATAAAAATTCAATACTTTATTCTGGAATTCCAGTAGTCATTTTCTACTCCCCTAAATTTTGTTTTTAACATTAGAAATCCCTTCTTTTTAATGAAAATAAACATGAAACTCTAATTAAAAAAAATAAAGATGTCAATAAGACTGCTCTGACTGACTGAGATGAAAGGGGGAGGTGCTCAGATCTCCCTAGGCATCTTTCTCCCCCACCTCCTCAGATTCCTTGGTGGAAACCTAGTTTCCTTGAAATATGGTTGGAAAATCTTACTCCAAGCCTAGCTCTTCAGACCTGCCCTTACCAACACTTGTTTTCTCTCTAGTCATTAAGGAGATAGCATGATTTCCAAAGGCTGGAATATAAATATTCACAGTCCGGGGACCAGTAATAGCTGGCCAAGTTATCTTACACGTACCTTACACTGACATGTGGTTACATTTCATCTAGGGGTAAGAACATCCAGCAGAATGAATATGAAATGGTGGCATTCCAGCCTCGAAAATAGAAAAACATACTGTTTGGGCTGAAGGACCTTCCTTGTGTGTTCCACAGTGACCTTGAGGTTGGAGGACATATGATAATCCAATTTGTTACACTCTGGTAAAAGTGAAAAAAAATTAATGCTATTAATGAGGGAAACTACAAACATATAAACCAAATAAAATTTGTAAATAAAGGGGAAATAATTATTTAAAAAGTAGTCTTAAAATAATTATGAAAAGAGTCTTTAAGATACCAGGAAATGGACCATCTGTGATATTATATTAACCAAAATAAGTAATACTAGCTGGTGTAATAATTGACCCCAAAATGTCTGGCTTAACTCAATATTTAAGATCTATTTTCTCACTCATATCAAAGTACAATGCATGCTGTGAGGAGCTTCTGCTATAATCCGTCATTCAGGGACCCATGCTGTAGATTAACAAATTCAAACACATGGCTTCAAGGTTGATCTGGCTTCATCCAGTTGGTAGATGGAAGATAAAAAAAAAATGGAGAAGGCATACCTCTTAACTGCTCAGCAGGGGTCATGTTCCACTAGTAAGAATTAATCACGGGGCCCTATGTACATGCAAACACTTTGGGAAATGTAGTTCTTCTATGGGTCCTGGAAGAGAAAATGGGTTTGGTGAGCATCCAATCAGGCTTTGTTATAGATACAAAGGTTGGCCTAAGGGATTCCCAATCTATAACTTGAGTATCACCAGGTCTGACTTTGGAAATCTCTTAGGAAGTCTCTACCACTCTCTTTTCTGCCTGTTATAATAAAGGGATCAGAACATAGCACTAATTGTAGCTCTTGCTGTTCCCTGAACAAGCCACAATCTTCCGTGCCTCTACACCTTTGCATGTGATTTGCATATGATGGTCGTCCATTCTTTACAATGCTTCTAACCTCCCCTTCCTCCAAATCTAGCAAACTCCTCATCTTTTAATACCAAGACAATGGTTACTTCCTCCATGAACTTCTCTCTGAAGGCACTGATCTCTTTTTAATATACATTCGACTTTATCTTCATACTTTGTACCTACCTCTATTACTGAATGCATAAGCCTGTATTATAATTTTTAAGGAATCAGTATGCTTTCACTATTGAAGTGGATGCATTAATATTCACAATATAGTGACCATTAATAATAGATTTAGCTTCCCAAAGGCAGGAACTGAGTCTTGTGTATTTTAGTATCTCCCATGCCTTCCCAGCACAAGCCTGGCTCACATGCTCAATAACTGAGAGAAAAATGAATGCGGCTTCCCTTTCTGCCACTTCCCAGCCAACTCTAACACTCAAGCTCTCTCTCTCCCTCTCTGTATTGTGGTAAAAAACATATAACATAAAACTTATCATCTTAACCATTTTTAAGTGTGCATTAATGTTAACTGTATGCACCTTATTTGCAACAGATCTTTAGACATCTTCATCTTAAAAAAAGGGAACTCTATACTCATTGAACTCATTTCCCTCTCCCCTCAGCCTCTAAGAGTTTGAATACCTTAGATACCTCATATAAGTGGAATAATGCAGTATTTGTCTTTTTTATGACTAGCTTATTGCCCTCAAGATTCATTCACGTTGCAACATACAATAGGATCTCTCTCTCTTTTAAGGCTAAATATTTCATTGTGTGTAATATACCACATTCTCTCTATCCATTCATCCATTTCAGTGTCTTAGTTTTTTTGACTTATGGTAACCAGAAGGAACTGATGACCCAAGAGAAAATGTGATCTTGTATTCTTAAATATTTCAGGATAGTTTAGATTCTAGAGACTAAAAGAGAAATTACACTTGAGTGCAAACAGAAATTAGATTTTTTAAAAAATCAGTGACTATATAAAGGATGCCTCCCATTATACCGTATCTGAGCATGAGAAACTATTAAACTACTTTCAGCAGAGCAACCAGGGCCCATAATAAAATGCTGTTCACATTCCCAAGGCCTCTTACCCTAGTCTTTTCACTGCACTACTCAGCACCTCCTGTTCCATACCCTCAAAATAGCTCTGTTGAGAAAAGAAACAGCAACACGTTAAAGTAGGGCTAAATAAATAAATAAATAAGAGATAAACAAGAACTCTTTCAACACAGAGCACTTGTAAGAATTTTCATGTTTAGGGAGAAGTGGAGGAGCCCCAGAGTAAACTCTGGCCCTTTTTGGAATTGGTGGATTCCAGTATTCATTTGCACTGAGGTAGTCTGAGGCCCTTCAGGGACATTCATAACCTTTACTTCAGTGCCTTATCATCAAAGAATCTAAAGTATCCTTGCCATTAGCATGATCATTATTTTTTCATTTGGTCTGAGGCGCTGTTAAACATGTAGCCATAATGTGTATTCAAAAACCTCCCAGTAAACCAGCGCTTAGCTTGTAAACACGTTAAACACCTCACACGTAACTACTTTCTAAAACTATCACAGTAAGAACCGCGATACTTAAAAAAAAAAAAAAGAACAGTTTTTGGTAAAAGATGCTAAATATAGCTTGCAGTAGTCAATAATCCTCCCAAAGCGGCATTAGAGAATTAATTGGTGTGCGAACAAAGAACCATTTCTGCACCAGCATGAATGTTGCCTTTATGTTTTTCTGACAAGTATGATTCTAGAAAACAGCTGTAGTACACGTTGACGAAAGATAAAGCGGCAGACGTGGTAAAACACTTTTGATCAAGACCAAGAGGAGAAAAAAATCGGGCGGCTGCAGCGACCAGCGGGCTGGAGTCTCCAGCTTCCCTCACCTCTTTTCTTCCAGTCTTTAGGGAGCAGGGGCCTCACCGCCCCAGCCCCACCCCCCTTTCCTGGCTCTGGTTACAGCCTTTCGAGTTGAACAAACTTGCTGCAGGCGGATTGGCGATCGGGAGCTCCCGGACTGGGGCGCTGTATTTATTAATTTATATTCCGCGGCGCCCCGTGTGGGCCGCTCCTTTGTATCCCGTGGCCGCCGCCCGGGCTCCGGGGCCTCAGCGGGGAGCGCGGCCCCCACGTTCGCCGACCCCCAAGGCCGGCACGTGCTGCTCCCGCCTGCCCAGCCCGCCGAGGGGGCGGAGGCCCGGCTTTTCTCCTCACCCCTTCTGGGCCAGAAGGAGGAGGAGCAGCAGCAGCAGCAAGCAGCAGGAGCGGCAGCAGGAGGCGACAGCTGCCGGGCCGGGGGAGCGCGGCGGAGCGGGGCTGCGGCGCCCGGCGACTCTCGGCGGCGGGGGATGTTCCCGGGCACTTCCTGACTGGCTGGCAGCGCGCACACGGCCGGACTCGCACGCCCCCGGCCCCCCTGGCTCGCTCGCTCGCTGGCTCGCGCCGGCCCGCGCTGCGTCGGCCGCGCAGCTGTGGAGGCGCGCTAGGGGGACGCGGCCGGGAATGAACTGATTGCGGGCAAATACGCCGCCGACGGGCCGCGAGAGGCCGTGAGGAGCCTCTTTTCTCCGAGTCGCCGCCCTGCCCTTGGATTTGAGATCATGTACGTACGCATCGCGGTCCTGCCATTGTCTCTGCCTCAGCGCGTGCGGTGCGCCCCAGGGCGAGGGGCTCGTGCCATCCTCGCCGCGCGCTGCCCACCCCCTCGCACTTCCTGTTCTGCTGAAAGTGATCCTCGCGCTGACCACGCGCCTCTTCTCCCCCTCGCCCTCGTCTCTGTCGCGTAGGTCCATTCACATCGTGGCGCTGGGGAACGAGGGGGACGCGTTTCACCAGGACAATCGGCCGTCAGGGCTCATCCGCACTTACCTGGGGAGAAGCCCGCTGGTCTCAGGAGACGAAAGCAGCTTGTTGCTGAACGCGACCAGCACGGTCGCGCGTCCGGTGTTCACCGAGTATCAGGCCAGCGCGTTTGGGAATGTCAAGCTAGTGGTCCACGACTGTCCTGTCTGGGTAAGGGGCCGCAGCTGCTCTGTGCAGAGGCCGACGGAGCTTTTCTTTCTTTATTTCCTTCTTTTTCTCCTCCCTCCTTTTCCCCTTTCACGAATGTGGACCGTCCGGTCACCTGGGTAGAGCTTTTAAACATTTTGGGAGAAATCTTTGGTCCTTCGTTTCATTGGGCAGGAGCCAGCCTAGTCAAACAACGCTCTTAGAAGGCTCTTAGAAGGCAAGAAGCCCCAGTGGGAACGTGAAGCACTTACGCGTACACTTCACGACCGTGGGTTGTCCCTTGGTAGACAACTGACAGTTAAATGTGCCAACCCTAAGGGACAGGGTCACTGAGTTTCACCAGCAGAGAGCAATATCTTTCATGCCTACCCTGTGGGTGTTATAGTAATACTAGTGTTCTAAAAATAAAGCTCTCTGAAAGCTCAGCACAGCAAAAATGCATTTCACTGAGGCAGCTCAGAAATAGGACCCCTGGAAAGGAGGAGAAAAGACAGAGAGAGACTGAGAATTAATTTTAAACGACTCATTTATAGCACTATCCACCGTTGAAAATTTTAATTAATGCTTTTAGTTTTAATAATGCAGATACTCTTAATATATTTAGCCATTTGTTTTTAATGACTCATAAATCAGAAATATTACTAATACTGTTCTGGGATTTTAAAAAGCTTTAAACTTGTGATAATTAAAAAAATTGTAATGAAGTTGACAAATCCTAATCTAATTCTTGAGTGATAAAAGGAGAAAATACATAAATGTTTTCAGTACACAATAGCATCATATTTTGAATGTTTTCACATAATGTTATTCCAAAGTTTCTGGTTTTTTGCTGGTATTGAAGTTATATTGCAACTAAAGATTATATTTTATAACAAAAAAGTTTAATGTCCAAAAAAGAAAATGTGGATTATGATTATGTGGGATTTACATTTAAACTGCAATTTAAAAAACTGAATGAGTGGCTTTAGGGAGCTAATACATCTTTCTAAAGAAATATGTAGAATGTACATAGAAACATTTCTTATACAGATTTCCATATTATGGAAAGAAAAGATCATATGCTCAAATAAATTTTCAGCTGAAGTAAATGTATATTGATACGCTGAAATAAATGAAAAAGTCTTTTTCAATAACAGGGATGCTATTAAACTCCAAATTGTAAAAGTGATGTTACTGATCATAAGGATCATCATTGTAAAACTTACTATTGAGTTCATGAGAGCAAAAGAAACACTTTTACTTTGGTCATTTAATTGTGAAAGATCTTACAGTCTAAAAACTTACTGGTTCTACACTCAGCTGAACAAATGTTGAGTGAACAGAGTAAGTAAATGTAGGAAAAACAAAATAAGCTGAATTAGGGGGTTAGGATAACCTTTCCTGTTTTTGCTGTTTATGTTGTTAATTTAGCAAAAAGTAATTCTTGTAATCCCATGGATTGTAGTAAATGAAATCTTTCAAATGGTCTGATTTTTAAAAATTTATTGATCAGTAATAAATACTAATTTATTATGTTTTATTATAATCACCTTTTGTTTGGTTAGACCCTCGCCCTGTTTAAGGCATTGAGTTTGTAACCAAGCACAGTTTTCTAGGTTACAATGGTCTTCTGACATAGTAGAGCTACTCTTTATAAGGTGTTTTCTTCTCTTGGTGGTGAGTAAAAGCCCAGCAGAGATAAGAAAGTTGATATTTGACATTTACTGAATCAGAATATTAAATATAGCAGAAGAGAGAGAGTACACCTTTTGATATCAAAAGGACCTGATTTCAGATCGTCACACTGCAGCTTATTGGCTTTGTTCCTAGATAAAGTCACTCATCCTCTCTTAGCCTTATTTTCCTTGTGTGTAAAATAAACGTAATAACCCCCGCCTCCTAGAGCTGTGCTGACAAGTAAGTGAGATAGTACATGTCAAGTTCTTAGCAACCACACTGGCATGTGGTAGCCGCTCAATGAGTGGTAGCTGCAGTGATAATGAAGTGTTTATCACAACTTTTGTATAGCCATGTATCACCTAAACTAAGCAGAAGTAAAGTTTTCCTACACATCATTCAAGATTTTCACACAAATAAAGTACATTGGGGCAGCAGTGTTAGTACTTAGTAGATGCTGTATTGCAGCTCCACAATCAAGTAGAATAAAATTATTGTTCTGCTATAAAAATTCAGATTATTTTTTCAAAAAAATTTCCATTCCCCAAATGTGGCTCCAAGCCTTGTGTTGCATAACCTCCTAGAGGAAATCCTGGAACTGATTTACAAGGGGTGGGAGAATTTGATTTCCTTCATATTTCTAGAAACCAGTGGAGCATTTCTCTTTGACTTAGTGTGAGAAGAAGAGTGGTGGTGTTTCCTTGGAGTGGGAATGAGATCGTTGCACTTCTGTCCTAGTTTTCTTCTGTGGATCCATAGCCCTACTCTGGACCTTTGCCATACAGTTTGGCACTTTTTAAATAAATGTGCTTCAAATTCATTACATGTAGCTCATTATTTAGTATGTCTCTCTCTAACCCACCCTTTCTTGTTTTATTCCATTTCTAGACTTTTTCCTGTTTACCAGAATTATTCCATAAAAAACAATGAGGTAATACATGCACACTTTTTTTGTGTGTGCAGGGTTTGAAGCTCTGGTTTGTATTAAAAATAAATTCATTTACAGTCTTCATATCCTCAATACCACAGGGTTAATAATGCCAAACCCATTTCCTCATGACGTTTTCCTTTAAATGTCCCCTTTTTCCTTCACCACCCCTCCAGTAACTCGGATTTTGGACAATTTGGAATGCAAAGAGCAGTTACTTCTGGTTTGTTCTCTCAGAGTTAAATGGCTGCTTGATATTGGTCCCACTTATGTTTAATTTACTCATCCCATCCGTCTGACTTTGTCCTCTTTCTTTGTTTTACTTATATGCCCTGTTATACTTGTATACTTTCAGCTTGACTACTGTAACAAAATACAATTGGAATGGAATAGTTTTTGTGGTTTGGGATTTGGAAGTTAGTGTAGAGCTCTGCTGGGAAGCTCTTACATTTTCTTGATCTGTGTCCCATTTCACTTCTCCCTCTTACATCCTCCACTAAGTTCAAGCCTTTCCCTTCACTGTTTATATCCTCATAATTTGCCTTTTTGTTTTGTTTTGGGGTTTTTTTGTGTGTGTGTGGTTAAATCTTTCTTTAAAAAGGCTCTAACCATCCCACTTTCAGTAAGGTATTCGTATCTAAAAATTCTGCAATGCTTGCTACTCAGGGTGTACTTGTAGGAAATGGGCAGGTGGGGAGGATGTAGGAAATTATTAGAGGCTTTGCTGGGGCTTGGGAATGTACTGGTGAGAAGAAGGTCTCTGCAAAAGGGCATTGCTGTGACATTTTTCCAGAATTTTCTAACATAGGATAGAAGCTCTGTCACAGTTGATTGATTCAAACCCTGTTTTGGAGTCACATTTCAAAGTGCAGACATTCACAGCCCAACAGTTTTTGGACCTGTTAGCTATATCTAGCTGTCTATTTTCTTAATCTAGCTTTATTACATACAAGGAATACATACCAAAGTCCACATCAAAGGACAAATAATGATTAATAGTTAACCAAAATGTGAGAAGAGAGCCACTTACATATATTTAGCAATGGTATTAAGATACATAAAAACACTTGTCCTATACCACTTTTCATACAATAACTTTGAAAAATTATTTCTATAATATTAAAGCACTAAGTTTCAAGAAGTAGGTCCATAAAAATTACTTCTGGCCTCAATTCTAAATACCAGTATTATTAACTATAGTCCAAGAGTAAAAATTTCAAAACTGGAAAGCTTTATCCTGAATTTTTAAATAATGTCAACGAAATACACAAATTGCAAATATATTCCTTACCATGTTAACACCTAATAATACACGCTTATCTTTTCATGGAGACGTTCCCCCTCCCATACCTTGTTCCCCTTACATGCACAGGGTATGTATACAATACTGTGCAAAGAATGGACAGAGTTTAAAAAACGTGTATGAGTTTTGAGAATATGAGTAAAACATATGGAACTCCACGGAATTCACAGTGTATTACAATTCAAAACACTGAACAATCCTTCATTATCTAACTGGGTCACAGAAAATCCTCTGAAGCGTCCTTACACTGATGCTCTTACATCTATTGCATAGTGTTACATTCTTGAAATTATTAGGTGATAAAGCTGTGGCATGATATTAAAACAAAGTGCTTATTTTTAAGTACATATGTTGAAAGAGGTTGTCTATTTCATCAGATTTTCAGGAGTTCTCTGGATTCTATTTTACCACTACGTTGTGGTCTGGGCTAGTTAAATTTCAAAATATTTAAAAGAGTTGATAGATTTCAAATGTTTTAAATTTCATATTTTTTAAAATAAATTTTTTAATGAGTTCCAAATATTAAAGTTTGGCAAAAAATTAAAACTGATATGTTACAGCTTATTTCATGGATGATTTGAAGATAAGTAGACTAAAGAGTGTTCTTTTCATTTTGGTTTAGGACATTTTTGACAGTGATTGGTATACCTCTCGAAATCTGATTGGGGGTGCCGACATCATTGTGATCAAATATAACGTAAATGACAAGTTTTCATTCCATGAAGTGAAGGATAATTATATTCCTGTGATAAAAAGAGCATTAAATTCAGTTCCAGTAATCATTGCTGCAGTCGGTACCAGACAAAATGGTAAGTATTTAATTTTCTTTTATGTGAGACTGCAGATACCATATTAATTTTAAACAGAATTAAGTTTATTAATGATTAATACAAGTTTTTTTTTTTTTTGGAAAGCAAAATGATTGTGGGTTCAAATGCCAGCTGTTGTCTCTTCATCACTGGGTATGATAATGAGACATCAAAGGAAACTATCACAAGCTACTGCTGTGATTCTGACGGGTACAAGTTTGTCTTTTAAACTGCTCTTCTACAAAATTGAAAGTAGTCAGTAATTGTGGGTTTTTGGGGGTTTTTGATTGTTGTTTGTTATTGTTGTTGTTTTATATGGGAGAGATATTAGGCTAACACGGAGCCCTGGAAAACACTTTTTGACAATGTAAACGTCTATCCAGTTGGGAAGGGTGGACTGTCCACATGTGAATGTGGGACTGGAGCAGGGTTTTTAGGTAGGTAGCGGTGAGTGAGCTGAATGCACTGACCACACCACCTAAGAGAGAGGGTTGTTCACTCTGTAGCTGGTGGATTAACTTGGTTCGGTCCGTTTCAGTGGTTGCTGCTGTGCATACTCTTGTCAAATAGCTCAGGGCCAACTCAGAACTCACTTCGATTTGGTAGCGTTTTATAGTTCTCAGTGGTTATTTCCTCAGTAAAGCTGTTTTTAAAGTTTTTTTTTATTCATTTTTCCCTCCTTATTGAAGTACAGCAAAATAAAGGACATAGACATCACTAGTTTTAGAGCACAGTTAAATGCATTTTTACGTATGTATACGTCTATGCAACCATCGCACCTATCAAGGTATAGAACAGCTGCCCCACTCATGCCTCTTCCCCCTCCCCAGAGATAGTTATTCTGACTTCTAACAACATAGATTAGTTTTACCTATTCTTGAACTTCATACAGTGTATAGTGCCTTGTGCCTGACTAATTAGTTAGCATAATACTTTTAAGATTCATCCATGCAGAACTGTAATTTCTTCCTTGTATTGCTGTGTATTATTCCATTTTATGAATATGCTGTGATTTATTTCTCCATTCTCCTTTTGGTAATGCTTAGGTTGTTTCCTAAGAGTAGGATTGTTGGGTCATAGGGTAGGTATGTGTTTAGCGTTAGTAGATATGAATGAAGCAGGTTTGACCCTTCTTTGACCCCCACATGCCCTCCATTTCCCTAACTTTCTTCTTATTGCCGGTCATGGTTCTTGAATGAGTCATCCACACTTCCTGAGTCCACTTCCTGACTTCCCATTCATTTTTCAGTCTACTCCAGTCTGACTTTGACTTTCACAGTTACACTGGTTTGTTTTCACTCAGGGCTGCCAGTTACATGCTTATTGTCACATTTAATATACATTTAACTTACATTTTAGTACCAATTCTTCCTCTGAAATTATTCAAACACATGTGTCCCTCCACTTAGTAAAGCTACCCTTTCTTTCCTGGTTGTTCTCTCTGCCTTTTCTGACCCTCCCAACCCCCCCTACAAACATATACCAAATCAGTACATCCTGCAGTTGTTGTCCAGGGTCCCATTCTTTGGCTTCACCTCTTGCTGTTTACTCTGACCATGAACCTGCTAATCTGTTGCCCTAGCTTCCCCTGTATAGACACTGTTGATTACCCACACTGTTTTTCTGGCTCCAGCCTCTCTCCTGGCCCAAATCTCCACAGACAACTCCCTCTTTTTACTGAGCTCCCTGTCTTGTGAGTGATGCCAGACCTACCCATTCACCTAAACTAGAACCATCTAACCCAGCTTTCCCTCCCATTCCTCATATTCAGTTGACTAAGAAGCTCTTTTGATTTTATATCTTAAATAAACGTCAAACTCATTGCTTTTTCCTCGTCTTCACTGTATTTCAGATCCTAGTCATTTAATTATCTGTCATAGTAACCATCTTTTTGGTCTAAAAGGGCAGTTCCAGCTTTTGTAGGATCTGAAACTTACACAATTTCAGAGGTTCTTTGTGTGGGAAAAAAAAACTACAAAATTACAGGCCCATATATGTATACAAATGAACATTTATTCAGAATGAGAAAAGAAAGCACATTAAATTACAACTCTAAAAAAAGCTGTCAAATACCACAAACATTTTTTTAAGTTTCTAATATTTAAAAACCTGACACTTACTTAATTTTTCTTAGATTTTTTTTGGCTGCATAGTGTTTGATCAGTTCTTCATATGATAACCACTTTTTGATATTTCTCTATAGAGAGAAGAGAATGGTAACTAGTTTTTCTTCCAGTGTATTTCCCCACTCTCCACATCTCTGTGGTGCTGGGCCCTACGGTCTGTGTTGGGTTCATCTTTCAGGGCAGCATCATTGTGTCATGATGCCAAATTAGTCTGCACAGTGGGTGAAAGAAACATTCCTGAAGGCCATTTGTGCACCAAGACAGCTCGCAAACACTTACAAGGAAGTGACTACAAACCACACATAATAGCTCACTAAACCTAAATTTAAATTCCCCTTAGCAGGATCCCAAAAATGTCCATGGCTCCTTCAGAGCTGCCTTGTGCGAGGTGAAGTGATTTGGAGTGGAAAGAGACAGTAGTCTTAACCAAATGTACTAAGAATATCTTATTTTGCAAATTTTACAGAAGCTTATGTCATGTGAAAGAATTTCATGCCCTGATTTCTCCCAAGGCTTTGGAAAGGACCCACAAGAAAGGGCCTTGAAACTTTCTTCTTGGTGAATTGGCCTCTGGTCTTCCGTTCCAGCTTGGCCTCTTTCTGAAATAAATCCTCTCAGAATAATCATCCTAGAATATAAATCAGATCATGATATTCATTCTTTAAATTCCTTAGACACTTTCTTCTCCTTTCCCTAACATTTATTTGCAAAATTACAAACCTAAGAAACTTGACAAGAATAGGACAGTGAACCCCAGAAATTACAAATATACACACACACATACACACACATTTTTTTGTCTGAACCATTTGAGAGTAAATTGTAAACATTATGGGATTTCTTCAGTCCTGATTAATTAGGCATGTCTTTAAGAACAGAGCCATTCTCCTATTAACCAAAATGCAATCATCACTCAAAATATGTAATATTACCTATTATGCTGTTATTTAAAATATACCCATATTCACATTTTCCCACCTGTTCCAAAGCTGTTTTTTTTTTAATCCAATGAAATTAAGGACAATGCACTGCATTTAGTTGTCATGTCTCTCTAGTCTCTTTTAATCCAGAACGGTTCCCAATTCCCCAGCCTTTTTTTTGACAGGGGAAGGGGGTTGTCTTTCATGACACTGACATTTTTAAAGAATCTAAGCCCATTATTTTACATGATTCCTTTAGTTGTGATAACTGTGGTTGCAGAATAGTGATTTCCTACCATTCCTTCCATGCTTATTAGTTGGTATTCTCCTGTAAATAGAACTTTCCCTTTGCTCCCACATCTGTCTTTAAGAGTTGTTATGATTCATGGGTTTGTTTTCTAAATTCACTATTTTATCATCTGTTCTTCTCATTATTCTTTCTGATGCTCCATTTACCCGGAATTTGCCTGAAGGGAGTCTCTCCATGCTCTCTCCAATTAATTTTTGAGTCCTTCCTTATTTTCTGGCACAGATGTCCCAGACTCATCTTAGACTTGGCCCTCCCCAGGATCTATGGGCCTCGCCGCTGCCCCTGGGGTCCTCCAGCTAAACTCCTCTTAGTTGCCCTTGGGCTCTCCTTGCTCCCACCATCCTTAAGCAGTGAGCCCTCAGATGCTGCTGCTGTGCCTGAGGTCCCACCTGTCCTCTGAGCTCAGTGTCCCTCTCTGGTCCTGTGCTCACTGCCTGCAGCCTCTCAAGCAGTCCTAGTTTCTGGCTGGTGAGAGTCTCTTCGCTAATTTTTGACCATTGCCATGTGCGTACATCTCTATTCCTCCTCCCTCCTCTTCCATCCCCTCATTGCTCTCTTTCTTCCTTCCTTTCTCCCTGTCACCTCTTCCCTATCCCCATCTTTCTTTCATGATTTTTGTGATTTGGCAGGGAGAGGAGATTGCAGTGTGGGCTTAGCTTGCCCTCTTGAAAGTGGAAGCGATGTGTTCCCCTTTTTCTCACATTCAGGCCTCTGCATGTGCTGTATCCTCTGACTGGAGTCCGCGCTGCATAACCCCTATTGTTTCTGCATAGCAAATTCATCCTTACTCTTTAAATCATTTGCTCTTC